TTAATTAAAAGTTTAAGAGCTGTTGGTTTAGTAAAATATTGAGAAAAATTGAATTGTTTGTTAAAGAAAGTTAGTTTTAGTGATCTATGAAGAAAGTAAGATCTGTTTGGTTCATAATTGTTTTTTGAAGTTGTTATAGTTTTTATGTATATTATAAATATTTTCAATTAGTGTATATGAATATTGTAGTATATATGATAGTATTGTATATGCAGAGATAGTAAATTGCAGATATTTTGTAGTATTATTATTTGATATATTGTATTTTTATTTAAGCCATCTATTAGTTTTTTTTTTTAAAATATTAAAATAAGTACTTGCAACTTAGGATTTTATTGATAGTATATTTGACTAATAGTTGCATTACAATTACAGAAAGCAATATGAAAAGAGTGTACATTAGCTACTCATACAATTTTAGTCATTGTCTAATTTAAGTAGTCTGCCCAAAGGTTCTACACTAGTTGCTATATCTAAAACCTGCTTGTAGATTCCCTATTTAACCATTCTAGTTTCTGTATTTATTCATCTATTTCTGTCTACCAAGCTTTAAAGCAGTTTTTTGAAATTTTTAACCTTGCACTAAACCTTTCAGAACCTTTTGTATTTTATTCTTATAGCTAACCTAGTATCACTATAATCAAAACCAATATTGGCAGTTAGAGCATATCATTAAACTGTTATGCTCTTGTAGAGTTCATTCTAATTCTAGTACTAACTTTACAACATATCTCTACTATTTTGGTATTTAATTTAAGTTCTACTAAGCTGCCATTCCAGATAGTTCAGAAAGGTAAGCTATAACTATATCTCTAATTTACATATTTGCCAATATGTACTTTTTTTCTTTGAAATCTGGAAATTCTAGCAGCCTGATTGGTTTATTTGGTCTTTTCTTAAAGGCTAGCATATTTGCCTAGTTTTATAAGTTCTAGCTTCATTTTATAGATCTAGTCTTTACAGTAACACTGTTAAATGTTTGAGTTATCTCTCTATTCAGGTTTTTCAAGTGGGCTTCTGTCTTTTTTTATTTGGTTCCTATAATTTACATGGCTACAAGAACTTATTATAGGTTTGCACTGCCTGGTACTGGTTTGTATTCTTTTATATAACAATAAACCTTGTCCCAAAGGACACTGTTATGTAACTGTTAAACAAATACTATGTAACCTGCCAGTCATGCTGGTATGACACAGATAACAGGTATCTTATCCCAACTAATTGCAAGAGACAGTTACCATAATACAGAATGAATTTTCAAATTTTTTGTTAATATTAAGATTTGAACTCTGGATCAGCTACTTAAATGTTAACAACCTGACCACTTTACAAAATCACCACATTTCTGAGCCATCTATTGTAAATGTGAGTGTTGTAAAATATTAGTAGTAAACTACAGATTATTTTGTAATTGTTGTAATCAGATATATGTACTAGTTCAGTAAATTTGTAATGTTTAGTCAAATTAGAAAGTTGGTAATGTAATGTTATAACTGGATATCTTATATGTTTTTGATATTGTATATATTATAGTTAAGCATAGTGCTAGTTAAAGTAGTTAGTGCAAGTTTAGATTTGTATTTGGCAGTAATAAGATATTTAAATAAAATTTTGTTATATATATATTGAAGAAGTACTATATTATATATATGATATTTGATAATATGAATAATAATATTATTAATTATATAAGAAACTTGTTTGTTTATTATTTGTTTGGTTTGAACTATATTTGTTAAACCAAATATTTCTTGTAAAATGAGTTTGATTATAATAGCTTATTTGTTGGTTGCTATATACTAGCAACTAAGAAATTTTAAAAATGTGTGTTATAATAGTTGAGTTTAGAAAAATAAAAGTAGATGTATGTTTTGTATTAAATATTGGACTGGATTTTTAAGAGTTTATTTTAATGTTTGCTATTTTGTAAAATGTAGATACTATATTAATAATATTTTGTAATTGTTATTGAGATTCTGCTAACTATAATGTATTATCCATATATGCTAATACAGAAGTATTTGTATAAGCTGTTTGATATTTTGCAAAAAATAAAAAAGTTAAGTATATAACTGTTGATGTGTATTCTTTAAATTTCTTATGTATGTAGTTAATAAGAGAGTCATAGTAGATTCATCAAAACAAAAAAGTTATAGTTTCTCTTTAATCAATATCATCTACTGAATATGATATTATTAATTTAAGATTTGTAATTACTTAATTGGAATATAATTTGAGCAAATTAGTTATTGTGCAATTTATAAATTGTAGGAGTTTAATGTAATGCAATAATTTTTTTAGAAGATTAATACATATTAACTGAATTATATACTTTGCTTATACTTATAAAAGTAGCTATATTGGTTTTTTATTGTTATTGGAATTTTTAATAAAGTTGTTTAGAATATATAGAGGTGTATTGGTGCTATTACTAGGTAGTGCAATATAATTATAAGGGCTATAAATTGAGTATGATAGTAGGATAATAAAAAGTTATTTGATTAAAATTTTTGTATATAATTTTTTGATATATTTGATTAGACTAATGGGTTGAGTGTTGTTGAAGTTATTATCAAAGTTTGATTTTTTTAAGATAGAATATATTCTGCTATTTTTCTACTGTTTAGATATTATATTAGTATTATGATATTTGTTAAATAGTTGGGTAATAGCCTGTAACATTAATGAACCACAATGCTTAAGCATTTTATAGCTTATACCTAGTGGCTTACAGGCTTTGTTGTTTGGAAGTTGTTACATTATTGCATTAATTCTTCTATAAAAATAGGTTTGAATAGAAGAGCATATTAGTTGCAATTAATAAACTGTTTAAGTTAATATTCTTCTGTTCAATATTAGTTAAATATAGTAGTATTAATAGATTGGTGTTGAGTCTAGTGTTAAAAGTGTTGTTAGACATGTTAAAATATTTCTGTAGAGTCAGTTATAACACTTTTATCAGTTTTAATATTATAAAAATATACTAGATCTGTATATCTATTAAGAATATTATTTATTATTTTAGTAGATTGTGTTATTAGTCATTCATATTTGTTATTAATTGCTATATTAATATGCTGTTTAAGATTCTGAATATTTTTTATACTATATATATGAAAAAAAGCTTTTTATGCTTGCTTAGCATTATCAATTCATTGTAGTAATAGTAAAAGGTTTTTAGAAAAATTTGAAATATCTAAGTTATATTTGTGATTAATAGTATTAATATCAATTATAGTTTATGTAGAAATAGTAAAATAGTATTTAAATAAAATTTTAACTTTATAAATAATGTTTTCAATAAGTTTAAGGTTTTTGTGTAAAGCTATTGCTTTAGAGCTAAAGGTGTAAAAAGAATGTTTAATTGTTTGTTTTTTGTTAGAAATGTGTTGTAAGGTTGCATTAATAATACAAGTATAGATTTTGTATCAAAATTTTTCTAGTAATATTGTATTATCTACTTTTGTAGAGATTTTGTATTAATGCATATTAGAGTTAATTTAGTTTAAAAATCTTTATATTTTTATTAGTTATTGTTTTATAGTTAAAAGTTTTACATTTATATTTGTCTTTTTTTTTAGATTTGTTTATTGCAAAAGAAAAGATTCATTGTGCTATAAGCATTTGATAGTTAATATTAGTAATCTGTGATAAGTTATTAATATAAAATTTGTTAAGAAATAGAATTGTATATTTACTGATCCATATAAAAATAGGCATCATGCATATGAATACATGCATGCATGCATTCATGCATGCACATAGTTTGATTAAATTCATATAGCAGCAATAGTGCTACTGTTTAAGAAAATTTAGCTAACTAATCAAATTTTTAAATCAGCTATATAAAAAACAAAAATCTGTCTTGAAGCAAAAATGCTATATTATAATTTGTTTTTGTTAATTTTTAATTTTTAGCTTATAATTCTAATATTAACAATTAAAAAAATTTTCTAAAAACATTTTTGTTATTAGATTAAAGTTGGAATTTGCTATTAAAATAATTTAAAAACACTTTATAATATAAAAATTCTTGAGATAAATATTTTTTAGTGCATAGAAAAAAGTTTTATATAATATTAGTATTGTTAATAATTAATGCACTAATCTAAGCTTTTTGGTGTTCTAAACAATTTATTTATAGGTAGCATATTATCAAAGAACAAATATATTATTGTATAAATAAAAAGTACCTAGGTAATGAAATATATGGTTTAAAGAACATTTTAATTTTAAAGAATTTTGATTAACTCACTGACAATAACACCAACAGCTTATTTAGCCAACATCATGTTACATGAAATTTAGTAAAAATATAATATATACAACTAATAAATATTTAATTCTAACTCTATATAATGTTAGCTAAATAAACTTTTAGTAAAATGACTATCAGTGAGCTAATCAGAATCCTTCTAAATTGGCCATTTTGATCATATCAGCTTAGCAAATTTCAAATTAGGCCAATTACTTGTTCCAAACATATTATGCCTTGGCAGATTTCAAATAAGACTGCAATTACTTGTTTTAGACTAATTATACTGTGTTGTTACTAAATTAATTGAATGCTTACTAATTGAACTTGAAGAATATCAGAACTAACTAAATGAAATTGTGTGACTAGTAATGAATAGTTGCTAAGTTATTTATTTAAATTTTTTTTGCCAAAATAAGTCTAATTTTTGTGCAAAATATAAGTTATAAATCTAGTTTTTTTAGTAAATATTTGTCTTTGTATAAGCAGGTTATTAATTTAGTATTTTTTTTTTAAAAATAGATTATTAGTAAATAAATTTTTGAATTTAAGTTTAAAATATAAATTTTTTTAAAAAAATGTCTGATCCTATATGAATTCATTTTATTCAATTAGGACATATAACTGGGTTAAGACAAAAATGAAGAGAATATAAATATTGTTAATATTAGATTAATGATTCTTTTAAATTTGCATGTACTTATTTTTGAAACTATAAGCTAGTTACATTTAAGCAAAAAAATAATTATTTTGATGAAGAAGAAAATAGTAATAATATATCTATAAATGTATATAATGTGTCTGTTTCATTGGCATCAATATTTATATCTGCTTTAGTTGCATCAATATTATTATCATCTGCTTTTTTAATTACATCAACTTCATCTATTCCTAGTAAAAGAGTATATAGTAAAAGTAAAAGTAGAGCCTACATTACAAGTTATATTACAGCTGATTATATGTCTAATATAGAACAAAGTTACTTAAGTTAAAATTTGCATAATTAATATTTAATGTAGCCTATTTTTATCTTTATTTAAGATAAAACTAATCAAAAAATTATGAAAGCAAGCATGATTAGCATTCAAGTTACCTAGTTAAAAAAAGCTTTTAACAAGTTTATTAGATAATATCTACAATAAAACAAAAAAAAATATTAAAACCTTAATTAATAATGGCAAAAATCTGTGTCTTATTTCAGATAAATAGTTTAATTTAGTATAAGAGCATTAGACTAACTATATTTAATAATGCAGAACCAGTATTCTATATAGCTTATCTGACTAATAAGGTATATCAAAATAGTAAAACAATTACTAATAATTTAAAAAAGATTATAGTTAAAGTAGATACATTGAAGATCTTAGCTATTGTTACAAATAATTTATCTGTAATAAAAAAATCTTGGCATTTGTTAGAAATAGATTATCCAAAATTTTGTTTTTAGGTTACATTATGCATAGCTTAAATCTTTTAGTCAGTAATATAACAAAATTATTGTAAAGTACAAATTTATTTAAAAAAGCTAAAATAATAATTAAATATTTCTAAAGACATCAAATTTTAAATACTATATTAAAACAACACCAATTTGCTTTATATGATTGATGAAGGTCTTCTAAATTTCTAATTAAAATGTAATAAAGGTCTTTAGCAACTTGCTTTAATTTGCTTGTTCAAAATCAACTTGCACTTAAGCTAACTAATACTGAGTTATCTTATAACAATTATATCATAATATTTACTGTAGACTACTGCTTACAGTACTTCCTGAAAATAACATTCCTCATAATTAGGATTCAGGTATTATTCACAATATATAGCAATTGACTGTGAGTAATACTCTGAGTACTTTTTAATTTTAAATACTAAAAGAACTGATTAATACTCAGATACTATCTATCTTAAAAAGAAAGTAAAGTATATAACTTTCTTGTTTAATACTACAAATAGACAAACAATTTATAAAATATTTGTCTAATTAGCTAATTTGAATCAATTGCTTAACTAATTTATAATCAAATTTAAATTATACTTTATAAAAATATTAACATTTACTATACAATACTATTTTATATATAGTTATTATACTATAGTTTCTTGGATAGGATTCTTTTGCTAATAAGTTTTCTAACTACTAGTATTCTTAATAACAATCTTAAGTGTTAATTCTAATAATTAATTAATTAAATTACCTTTATAGTTTATATTTTAATTACTAATAATTTTATATTTTAATTTTTATATTTTAATTATTGATACTTATTTACAATCTTTTGCTTCAGACCAAATAGTGATTGATAATAAGTTATGTTTATAATATTTATACTACACTTAATATCCAATTTTTTTAAAGTTAATACATCAATATGCTGCCTATAATAAACTTAAATTTAAATTAATTTTAAAACTAAATTAAATTTTAAACTAGCATCTAATGATTATAACACCTTATATAGCTATATATTTACAAATGATAAGTTTTCCAAAAAAGTTCTTGCTGATGGTTAAATTTCCAAACATTGTTGATTTTTCTTCACTGATTAATGAATAATCTAAATATTTTAATATGCTTAACATGCCAAAGAATGAATTGTCCATTGTGTTATTTCTTTTATAAAACTAATCTTTAAAAAGTTTATTAATTATAACTAACTATAATGTTTTTTACAAAAATGCTGTCTTATTGATTGTAAAATTTACAACAGATAATCTAAGAATTTGATAGGTGTAATGTTATAAAAAGCAAAATAAATCTTAAAAATTTTTTTTAGAGAGAAAAGAACTAAATAATTTTTAATAAAGTAGTAATAACTTAATATAAGCTATAACAGATAAGTTATAAAATTAAGATAACGTTTCACTTATATAGTAAATCATTTACTATATGCTGTTTGAGTAAGATTAGCCAATAATGTTTGAATATAAGGAACTGCTATAAGCATATATCATATTACTTTTTAATATATAAAGATTATTATTAAAATTTTTATATCAAAAAAAAAAAAAATAGGTAAACCAAGTAAATTAAGTAGATTATTCACAATAGTTTTCTAAAATTCTAAGGATTGTCTACTCTAAACAATATTCTAATTGACTAATCTCAAACATTGATGTAAATTCCCTTCTTGTTTTTATAATATTTATAAAATTCACATTCTTGACTATTTTTATTATCTTAATCACTTTCATTATCTTAATCACTTTCATTATTTTGATTACTTTCATTATTTTAATTATTTGCATTATTTTGATTATTTTTATTATCTATATTATTATGACTTCTACTTTCTTCAATACCAATTTCTCTTTTTTTACTTAATGCTTCCTCAAAATCAAAAATTGAACCATCTTCAGAGCTGTTTATCTTTGTAGAAATACTGCAGCACTTAAAAAACTGTCAAATTATTATAAGATCAATATTATCCCAAGCTTCTTTAATTCAAATTGCTACTAAAGAGTATAATAAATGTTTAATTTTGCCTAATAGCATATATTCCTTTATAGCTTCACTTATCCATTGATTATAAGCATGATTAATCTATTTATAAAAAAATTAAAAATTTTTTATACTAAATTAAAATACTAATAGCTCTTTCTTAAAATCTTGATAAGCAAAATCTTAACAAGACAAAATTTTAACAAATTTGGCCAAATTTGTTGAAAATTTGTTAGGATTTTGGCTATTAAGATTTTGAAATAGATCTAATACTAACTTTTGTCTTAAATAGTTTGTTTAAAAAAATGTCTAATAGTTGCAAGTGTGAGGTTAGTTCATTCAGAATTATAGCAATATCTGTATTTCATTCATAAATATGATGCTTTACAAGATACATTTTATATTTAGCAAATGCATCAAGAACAAGAAGCAAATATGGATTTGAGGCAAATTAACTTGTCGATGCTATACATTTTCTATCCATCAGATCATTTCTGTCTCATTTATTCAACCACTTGGATTCACATGAACATATACACCATTATGGAATCTTTTTCAAGATACATTAACTAATTTAAAAATAATAAATAGCAGAAGTTTAATACTATCTGCAAGACAGACTAGAATTACTGTAAAACAGATGCATTATGGCCTGTTGTAAGAATTGAAATAGTTTTTTTTTCAGATTCCTTAACTGTTTTTTTTTTTTTTGGTATTAAGATGACCTTTTTGGTCTTTTGACTTTTATTAATCACTTATCAGTATTGTTGTTCAATGAACCACTATATGAGAGAGTACAATTGGCTACATATGTAACTTTTTTATATTACTTATTTAAGAAGTCTGCCTGAAAGTTCCCTACCAATTGCTGTACCTAACACCTCTGCTTTGATATTCTACTTTAAATCCTCTAAATCTGTAATCTGTGTTAACTCACTAGATTATACCCAGATGCCCAGATCATTGTCTCAACCTTAGGACTAATTTATCCTCAAGATAAACCTCTCAGAACCTTCTGTACCTATTTTTACAGCTGACCTAGGTATTGCTATGGCAGAATCAACACTTGTGATTAGGGCTGATCATTAAACTGTTATGCCCTTGTAGAGTTTACTTAGACTCTAGCATCTACTTTACAGCATAACCCTAGTACTTTAGTATACCTCTGCCTTTTCACCTGCCTTTTTACCAAACTTCCAATTCAAATAGCTCATGTAAGACTACAACCAGTTCATTAGTATCTCAGGTCAGCCTGATATCCTTTTTCTCTAGTTCGTTTTGGTGGCCTGGTTGGTAGTACCTCTGAGACTCCCATTCCAGAGGTTCTTGCCTATCTGACTACTATGACCTTAGTATCCATTTTCCTAGACTAGCCTTTACAATAGGGCCATCGAAGATCTAGCTATCTTTCTACTCAGATCTTCCCAAATAAACTTTTTGTTACCTAATTTCAACGAATTTACACAGCCACAAGGACTTATCTAGTGTTTGCACTATCTGATTTGTCAGTTTGCATTCCTCTGTATAATGCTATACTTACACAAATGCTCTATAATCTGCCAGTCATACTGGTGTGACTGCCATTACAAGTATTCTAATCCAATCGTTAGTAACAGTTGCTGTAATATAAATATTATATAGGTGATTATCCAAATTTTTGCTATCGATGGGATTTGAACACCCAACCTACCACTTGGAAGGTTGACAACCTGACCACTTCACTAGGTCACCACACTCAGATTCCTTAACTGTTGTTTGGTTTGGCAAGTTAAATGCAATAGAAGTTTTATTTATATTTCCTATTAAGTTTAAAGAGTAATTATATTCAGATTACTAATAAAGAATAAATAATTAAAAACTCTGTTGTTTTTCAATATATTCTTTAGGCAATTTTGTGCAACTGTAATGCATTGGTAGTTTGCTAAAAAATAGAATGACATAAAACCATCTACCTACTTGTAAGAAAATTGACATCTATAAATATCAGAATATAAAGTATAATAATTCTTGTTTATTAGCTAAACTGTAAGCTTTTACTTTAATTATAAACCTAGTTACTGTCTTTAATTGACTTCACAACTCATAAAACTATTTTAAAAGTTCATTCTTGAGCTATAGGTACTTAGGTCATACACCAGTATTAAGTCTTTAAATGTATGATGCTACATGCATTAAGTTACTTTTTTTGTTCTTCTAGTCATGAACTTGCTTTGGTTCAATTTTAAATTTATTTGCTATTGCTTAAATACTATACCCATTTTCCTAATAAAGCATAACCATCAACTTTTTATGAACATTCTACTACTGATATTGTTTTTGTGTAATTCTTGCTCTTCATTTATCAAAATTCTTCTTTGGCATTTTTAAGATACTTAATTATGATAATTTATAGATATTCAATATATGGCTTAAAAAAAATTTCCAAATTAAAATTTTCATGTTTTTGTTTTTTTTATATAATTATGAGACAAACTTGGGGGCACAAAATCTGCCTTATTGTTATATAAAAGTTATCTCATAAGAATTGTTTAATTTTTACTTCTCATTTACTATTAATTAACATAATCTAATTTTATGTCTATAAATGCTTTTGTTTTAAGATAAAATGCAAAGTAAAATGCATTATTCAATTTTTTAATAAGCTATTTAAGTTTGCAGGCCCTTCTTCATATCTGTTCATTATATGATAAGTTTTATCTTGATGCAAATATATTATTTAGTTTGATCTTTAAAGTTTGGTAGGTATTTTATAATGTTTTTTTTATTTTGTGATGAGCTTTCTTTGATAAAATAGTTTATTTTAAAATTATTCAAATTTGCGAACACATCTTCATATCTTCTTATTATATGATTGTTCTTTGATTAAATCTGTTACTTAATTTGAAATTTGTTCAAGCCTACAAATGCTTCTTTTTTTTTTTTTTAGTGTTAAGGTGAGGCCTTGCTCATATCTTTATTAATAATTTTAGTTGTATATATTAATATACTATATATTAAAGATATACTAAGATTG